CACCCCCATGCCCTCACCCCTAGAAGGAGAGAAGGTGGCCTCAACTGCCTCTGAAGAGTTCAGGACCAAGTTGCTGTGTGCCCTCAGGCATGTTGCCTACCCTCTCTGAACTTCAGTTTCCCCTCTTTCAAAATAAGAGTACTCATCCCTACTTCTCAAATGTGGCTTCCTCCTTTTCCCTGAGGGACTTCACCTTCTTTTGTGCCAAATTCAACACAATGGACAGGACCAGTTCGGTTGCACCAGAAATGAGACCCAGTGACTCCAGGTCAGGGTTAGGTTCCAGTTCTTGCTCTGCCACAAACTCATGAGTCCTTGTGATGTAACTGGGGAAACTGAGGTCCAGAGAGGAGAAAGGACTTAGTCTCCTCAGCTGCATTTCAAGAGGCAGGATTCAGTATTTCCTGAAGTCCTGTTTGTTCCGTGGGGTGTAAATAGAAACAAAAACTTAGGTGGTCCAAAAATTTAGAGAAATGCTGGGTTAAAGCTATAAGGGGGCTGGCTGTGGTGGCTCACGCCTGTAATCCCAGCACTTTGGGAGGCCATGGCGAGATGATCACTTGAGATCACGAGTTCGAGACCAGCCTGGCCAACATGGCAAAACCCATCTCTACTAAAAATACAAAAATTAGCCAGGCTAAGTGGCACATACCTGTAATCCCAGCTACTCCGGAGGCTGTGGCAGGAGAATTGCTTGAACCTGGGAGGCGGAGGTCACTGTGAGCCAAGATGGTGCTACTGCACTCCGGCCTGGGTGACAGAGCATGACTTTGTCTCGAAATAGAAAAGCTGAAAGCGTATCTTGCCTGCAGGATTTGTTAGAATTTTTATATATTAATGCGAATTGTGTATCTCCAAGAGCCGGGATAGGCATGTTTCTCAAACTCTTTGTACTGGGAAACCCACTTTTCAAGGTGACTGGGAAATTAGCTGCACTAGGTGAAGACGGGAACACTACACCTAACTCTGTGGTACATCTTTTACCTAACAGCTCTGTGCCACTGGGGTATTTGGCCACCCATCTGCTAAGTTAAACCTCACATGGCACGTACTTTAAAATATCAGCCTCATTTCATTGTATGAGACAAGGTCTTGTTCTGTTGCCCAGGCTGTAGTGCAGTGGTGCGATCATGGCTCACTGCGGCCTTTCTCCTTCACCCGCCAGGACGCCTGGGCAGCTGGGGCTCTGGGACCCAAGGCTAGCCTGGGTTCTGGAGCCAAATTGGCCACATCTGGTGGTTGACGGTTGTTTCCTCTTTTCCTCAAAGTGTTGCAGCTGGGAACTCAGACTCAGAATCAGACAGGCCTGTGGTCTATCCCAGCCCCTTCGTTCTTCATCCTCAGCTGTGTGACTTCAGGTGAAGCGACTGCCCTTCTGTGGGCCTCACTGACCTCATCTGTGATGTGGGCACATGCACCTCTGTTGCTCTGAGTGGTTGTGAGGACTAAGTAACATTTAGCCCTGAGCCTGGTATTCGGTCGGCCAGTAGTAACCGTGGGATCTCGGTAATTGTAGCAGCCCTCCCGGGCTCAAGTGATCCTCCCACCTCAGCCTCCTGAGTAGCTGGGACTACAGGCGCACACCACTGTGCCCAGCTAATCTTAAAATTGTCTGTACAGATGGGATATCACTATATTGCCCAAGCTGGTCTCGAACTCCCGGGCTCAGGTGATCCTCCAGCCTTGGCTTCCCAGAGTGCTGGGATTACAGGTATGAAACACAGCTCCCCATCAGAGCCTAACTTTACAGTTGGGAAATAGGTGGCTCAGGAGTGATCACTTGCCCGGGGGCCACACACACCTGCTCACGGCCTCAGGATGGAACCAGTTCCGTCTGACCCTCAGACAACTACATCCCACAGAACTCAGAGGGGTCCGTCTCACAGCACGAATCTGCCCTAGCATCCTGACTACACATCACCTGATGCCACCCCACTCCTTCCTTCGACAGATCTGGAAATTGAGGCTCAGAGAGGCACACAAGTCACCCCGGGTCACACATGGAGTCAGTGGGATACTACATTTTTTCCTGCCTCCTCCCCTCCCCCTGCCACTTGCTGGCGAGCTGGTGATGGCAATTTAAACAGAAAACCTTTAGCCCCTTGTTCTCATCTACCGCGCTGGCCGGACTCCACCTTCTCCGGCCAATGTTGGGGGCGGGACCTTTAAGAACGCCTGGGAGGGACCCGCAGGCGCAGTGCTGCTGGGCGTGGAGGAGTCCGGGCTGCTGCGAGGGAGCTGAGTAGGGCAAAGTTGGGAGTCACTGTTTTGCTGGCAAGTGCGGAAGCTGGAACTTGCCTGTTTCCCCCTCCAGAAATGGGGTTGTGGTCTAAAGACAGGGATATGAGTGAAGAAAGCACAGAACCACCCGGGAAAGGTGAGTGTCCGCTCATTGCTTCCTCTGCCCAGATCTGCGCCTGAGACCTGTGGCTTTCTGGGGCATGTCTCTGACCTGGGGTCACCCTGTCTCTGATCTGGGGTGATCTTCTAATGGTCGCTGTGACAGGAAGTGATAGCCGAGGTTTTGTGCCTGCACACCTGGCCACCATATTGGACAGCTCCGTGGTAAAGGGTGTGAGCCCAAGACTGCTAAATAGCCAGAGAGGGGTCCTAGTGTCAGAACAGACAGGGGAAGACTGCAGCTCCCACTGGGGGCCTGGATCAGATGGCCGCTTCTCCTCTCTTGCTCCTTCACCCACAGGATGCCCAGGCAACTGGGGCTCTGGGACCCAAGGCTGGGCCCAGGTTCTGGAGCCAAATTGGCCACATCTGGTGGTTGACAGTTGTTTTCTATTCTCCGTCAAGTGTTGCAGCTGGGAACTCGGACTCAGAATGACAGGCCTGGGTGCTATCCCAGCCACTTCTCTGCTCTTCATCCTCCGCTGTGTGACTTTGGGCGAAGTGATTGCCCTTCTGTGGGCCTCACTGACCTCGTCTGTGATGTAGGCGCGTGCACCTCTGTTGCACAGAGTGCTTGTGAGGACCAAGTAACGTTTAGCCCCGAGCCTGGTATCCGGTCTGCCTGTAGTAACTGTGGGATCTCGTTAATTGTAGCAGGGAGAGTAACATTTTGGTCACATGTCCTTCCCCCATCAATTCGGTAATCAAAGGTGATTGGTTGTATAAAGCATGCTCGAAAGGCTACCCTGGAGGGCACTTTTGAGATCAGCCGGCCCAGTTCCCGGATGGGGAAATGGAGGCCCAAGGAGGCACAGGGAGTCAGTGCTAGGACAGGGCCAGAGCCCAAGGCCCAGACTGTGCCATGCGCCTCCACATGCCACACACAGACCCCACCCCACAGGGGATGAGGAGGTTTTTCCAGGATAGCAGTTTCGTCCTTAGCCCTGGTCTCCAAATGTGAGGGACCTGGCATGGGGCATGGCTCCAGCTTTGCCCGTTTTGCCTCTCCTGATGCCCCAGCGTGGGTATGCCTGGCGGTTGACCAAGGACGTGGGGACCTGGGTGACCAAGTTGGTGCTGGGTGGCCCTAGTGGTGACACCTGGGAACACCTGAGCCACAGGCCACCACCCAATGCTACACCTGGCCTAGACCTTGGTTTCCTGCCTGCTTCCTACGAGTGCTCACCCAGCACTTTTGTCTGCTTGAATTTCATCTCTGGTTCTGGTGCCGCCCCCTTGGGAGATGGATTGGTTAGGGTTACTCACGGTGGCATGATTGGAACCCAAGAGGCTGGGCCTGCTGGTTTGCCCCATCCAAGCTCCCCTGGGTTCTGGATGCTCCCAGGTGGGCTCTGATTATGAATGGGGTGGGGGTGGGGCTCAATGCCAGAATACCTCACTCCCTTTCAACATCCTTGTGGCCATTGCTCAGCTTATGACATCTATAAAGTGGGCATGATTTTATCACCTGCCTGATAGACTCAAGTGAGATCAGAAAAGCACCCTGTCAATTGCCGTTTATACTAATTGTGTCCTATTTGTGATGCAGCCTTCCAGGGAGCTCCACTTCTCCCAGCTCCTCACCCTGCAGGGCCCGGCTCCTGCTCCTCAGGGGCTGGGGTGTGTGTCTGGGTCACTGACACAAGGCACAAGGGCCTGGGTCCCGCTCTGGACACAGGAGCCTCTGTTTCCTCTTCCATGGACTGTACCCAGTATGTGCTGTCCGACTTGGGTTCCTGGTCTCAGGGAGGTGGACTACCCATCGCAGAGTCGAATCCAAGGCCTCCCCTCTGCCCTGGACTCCACCACTGCCAGCCACCCTGGCAGGGCTCTGTGAATGGGAGGGAGGCCTGCCAGAGCCAGGAGCTCCCCAGCTCCTCTGGCCTGATGTTGGGGTAGGAGGCCAGGGAGGGGAGGAGGTGAAGGCAGGGACAGGACACAGGGAAGAATCCATGCTGTGAGGCTGAACCCCAGCTTCGCACAGACTTGCTGTGTGACCTCCCCGCACGTTGCTTTCACGTCCAAGTCTTAGTTTCTTCCTCCTGAACGCCTCCCAGCCTGCAAAGGTGTTGTGAGGCTCTGGCAAGATGCGGTATGCAGGAAAATGCCTGGTACACAGCCAGCTCCCTGGGGCAGGGGTGGTCTCCCGCAAATCCCCGGGCACCAGAGATGGCTGCTGCCTAGCCACTGGGGCCTGTCCCCAGCCCCACTGTCACTGTGGCCCCTTGGAGCCTGCCAGGCACAGAGGGAGAGCTGGGAAGGAATTGTGTTGGAGGGAAGATGCCGCCCCCAGACTACCATGGAGGAAATGAGGAAGACAGCCCCCGTTTGGTTCTGTCTCTGCTGCTCTAGGGATCAATCATTGGCTGTGGCGTAGCAGCCATCAGCCTGTGTGCTATATGACAGTGTCCATCTTCAAAGAGCTGGAAGAGGCGGGGCACTGAATGCAGAAGGCCCCGTGCACAGTAGGTACCAGGAGGTTCCTGGCCTGCTTCCCTCCCGGCTGCAAGCCGGTCAGCTGGGAGGAGACAGCCCCTTTCACTCCTAAGGAGAGGAAGAAAGAAAACGAAAACAAGAGCTACAAAAGCAAAGCTGACAGCTGAGGCACCATCTGTGTTTTCCTTTTTTTTTCTTTCTCTTCATTTTTAAAACAATATAGTGCAGACTGCACTTCTCACAGTAGAATATAATGGTCAATTTTAGTATAAAAAAAAAAACATTCTCAGAGATTTGTAAATGCACTTAGTGCTTGAACAGGCCTTGGAGAGTTACAGTACCGCTTCCAGAGCGCCAGAGGGGCCAGGACTTGGGGACTTCATGAAGGGATTCCTGCCTATGTTTCCCCCCTTGATCGTGTGGGACAGGCCTTGGAGGGTGGTTTGCAGGAAGGAGTTGGATTGGGCCTCCCAGTTAAAACCAGGAGGATCTCAAGAGATCCCTCAAAGAAGGCAAGGGAGGTTCTCTCTGAATGAGATCTAAGATCACAGGCCCATTGTTAGCCCCCGTCGTGCCTTTGTGCGAACAGGAAAATGAGCCCCTTCCTCAAGATGTGGAAAATTGTAATAAATATACAAATTTGGGTCAACGTGGTGTCTCCTTGGACAGGGTGCTCTTGTGCAGTGCACAACCTGCATAACTGTACCCAGCAGCCCTATAAGATGTATTGGAGGGAAGGGGGAAGATGGTAGTTCAGGGTTTGGAAAATGGGGATGGGGTGCAACTCTGTTAGGAAGGAATGGTGGGTAGGGTGGGAGGAGGAACAGGGGACTGGTGTAGTCCCTGGGGCCTCTGTTAGAGTGTTAGGGAGACACTTAGGGCCCAGTGACTTCCTATCGGCCCCCTGTGCCCTTTCCCAGAATACTGGGGAGCCAGTGTGGGGAGGCACAGCTGCCTGACCCCTGGGGCTGCTTTGTCCTCATGCTGACTCTGGTGTGCCCATCTCCTCCTGCACCCCACCTTGGCCTCGGCCCCTGTCCCAGGAGACCCAGAAAACACCATTCCTGTTTTTGAGTGGTTTCTCTCTCCCTGTCTCTGCCAGCTTAGAGGAAGGTGTAGATGTCAGTGGCTGCCTCCCCGCTCCACGGCCCTCCCTGTGTCCTGGGGTAACAGACGGTGGGGAGGGGCCTTGGTGTGTGAGGTCACCCTGCCCCCCTCCATCCGGCCACAGCGAGGCACCAGCCGGCCTGGCTTCCCTGTGGGCATCAGCAGGCACAGGGTGGGGCTGAGTGCCCCTTCAAGCTGCCCACCCTGTTCTGCGGCCTGCCTCCCGGCTCCGCGCCCCGTCTGTGTGTCCATGCGTCCGTAGGGCAGGCCTTATCTGTAGACAGGCAGGCGGATGTGGGCATGTTGGTGGTCGAGTAGCCGGGGCACCGCCACGGTCTCGTAGCCCTTGCCCAGCATCTGTTCCTTGATGCAGGGTGGCCGGATGTCATTGATGAGATACTCCAGCGACTGGAGGCTGCTGCTCAGCACTGATGTGTTGCACATGCTCTTGCTGGGCAGGCCCGAGAGGGCATCTGCGGGGGGCCCAGCCAGATCCCGGGCTGCCCCTGGCCCCAGCTCTGTGACTGCCACTGCCGCTGCTGGGTTGTAGCAGTCGCTGGTGGGGGTCACCAGCACACTGTTCCAGGGGGCTGCAAAGTACTGGCCCACGGTGAAGCTGGTGGGCAACCCCACACCACAGTTGAGGGGCGACCTGCTGGCCCGCTCATACGCCCGGCCCCCACAAGCCTCAGGGGACTTGCTGGCCACCGTGCTCCCGCTGTAGGCGCGCAGCGGCTGAGGTGGTGGTGGGGGTGGTTTCTGCGGCCATAGCAGGTAATCTAGGCCGCTGTCTGCATACCCTGCAGGCTTGGTGGCCCCAGCCAATGTTAAGGCTGGGGTGGCTCCCTGGCCCAGCTCGGTGCCTTTCCGGCAGTCGGGCAGACCGGCTGCGGCTGAGTAGGCCATGCTGGGGAAGCTGGGCACTGGGCCGTGCTTGGCAGGGCTGGGATGGGGAACAGCCACGCCCTGGCAGGCAGGGGGTGCGGCACCCGGGGCCTGGCACTGCTGGTTGATCTGGTAGAGGAGGCTGTGGATGGAGGGCAGGTTAGAAGGTGGCAGGGGCAGGCCTCGGCCTGGCAGGGGGATGACGGAGGTGGCAGTGGCAGCTGCGGGCAGGCTGGGTGGAGGAGCAGGCGCCTCGGGTGGCTTGGGGTAGGCCAAGGCCCCCAGAGTGCTGGGTGCTGGGTAGGGTGCGATGCCCACCTGCACGGCAGCAGGTGACAGCTTGGTCCGCTTGCCCTCGGCGCTCTTGAGCACACTTTTGGCAGGCCCAGCAGGTGCAGCCACGCTGGAGGAGGAGACTGCAGCCTTGACGATGGCCAGAAGGCCCTGGTAGCCGGCGGTGTGCTGTGGGTAGGGGCTGTAGCGCTGGCCGCTGGTGTCATAGCCATTGACCGTGCGGCTGAGGTGCTTGTGCTGGGGCACACGGATGTTGGTGGGGAAGATCTTGATGGACAGCGGGCTGTTGGCCACCTTCTCAGCATAGGCATCCAGCTCTGCCGGGCTCGGGTAGCGGGAGGAATGCATGGCGCTGGCTACCGCCTCGCCTGCGGGAGGAAAGCACATGTGAGAGCCCATGGGAGGCCATGCCCACCTCTCCCTGCAGGGCTCATGAGCCCCTCCCCCCACTAATTTCCCGTTCATTTCACTCTTCCTTATTCCTTCTACATTTTTCAACTTTGGATTTAAGTGTAAGGTGCAGGGAATTGCCTGCATCATAAGCTTGATGAACTTTCACAAAAGGAAAACACCTGCTTTACGGCACCCAGGCCAAGAGACAGGACATTGCTAATCCCCTGCAGGGTCCCTGAGCCCCTCCCAGCCTCTAACCACACCCTTGCTGACCTAACCGTTACTGTAGACTGGCTGTGCCTGGCTTATGTACGTGGTGCGATGGAATTCTACAACATGTGCTCATTTGCACCTGGCTTCTGTCACTTCCTACTATGTGAGAATCATCCAGGTGGCCGTGTGGGAAGTAGTTCGGTCTGTCTCGTTGCTGTGTGGTACTTGTTGTGTGACTATGCTGCAAAAAGTTCATCATTTCTGTTCTTTATTTTTAAAGACAGGGTCTTGCTCTGTCACCCAGGGTGGAGTGCAGTGGTGCAATCATGGCTCACTACAGCCTCGACCTCCTGGGCTCCAGCGATCTTCCCACCTCAGCTTCCTGAGGAGCTGGGACCATAGGCACGTGCCACCACGCCTGGCTAATTTTTGTATTTTTTGCTGAGATGGGGTTGCGCCATGTTGGCCAGGCTGGTCTCAAACTCCTGAGCTCAAGTAATCCTCCTGCCTCGGCCTCCCAAAGTGTTAGATTACAGGCACAAGCCACTGTGTCTGGCCCATCCTTTCTATGCTTGATGGCATTTGGGTTGTTACTAGCTGATAGAAATAGTGCCACAGGCCGGGTGAGGTGGCTCACACCTATAATCCCAGCACTTTGGGAAGCTGAAGTGGAAGGATTGCTTGAGCCCAAGAGTTCAAGATCATCCTGGGCAACAGAGTGCGACCCTGGCTCTATGGAAAAAAAAATTAGTCAAGCATGGTGGTGCATGCCTGTAGTCCTAGCTACTTTGGAGGCTGAGGTGGGAGGATCACCTGAGACCAGGAGATGGAGGCTGTAGTGAGCTGTGACTGTGCCGCTGCATTCTAGAGTGGGTGATTGAGCAAGACCTTGTCTCAAAAAAAAAAAAAAGTAAATAAATATAGTGCCACAGCAACCTAGCACATGCAGAGTTCTGTTGGAAAGATGCCCAGGAATGGAATTTCTAGGTCACAGGGGAGAGGCCTCTGCCCTGCCTGGCTTCGGGAGAAAATGCCTGACTGTTTGCCCATGAGGCTGTGTCAGGCTATACTCCCACCTGCAGAGCACAGGAGTTCCAGTGGCCCCACAACCCTGCCAGTGCTTGGTGTCATCTTTCATTCTGTTACTGCTCTGGGGGACATTCCTTCTTTCTAATCCTTTTATCCTCCCCCTGCCTCCCTTCCTGGCCTGTGAAATGGGATGATGGTCCCTTGCCCACCTCATGGGCTGGTTAAGCGTGCTGCTATGTGAACACAGGGCAGATGGGGCCTAGCGCCAGGGCGAGTTGCTGCTAGTGGCTTCCTCCTCACTCAGTCAAAAGCCAGGTGAGGAGGAGGGGCTCTGCCACCCCTTGCTCTTGCTTCCTGAGTCTACCGGTCACCTGCAAGGCCAGTGTGGCTGTCACTGCCTTTTTAGTGAGCCATCTGCGTGGGGCTGAAGGGTACACTCTGTGCGGCAGGCTGACTGTCCCCACTGTAAGTGGACACAACTGGCCTTGCCATGGGGGAAGAGGGCCATGGCGGGCAGACTCCTGCCCCCATCCAAAGCCCTCCTGGTCCTGAGACATTCCCAAGGGTAGCCCACGACCTTCCCAGGGCTGAGGGCATGTGGAGATGGTGGTGGTGGAATTCCATGAGGCAGATGGAATGGCCCTGGGCATGTAGTTTGCCCAGCTGAGCCTCAGCTTTCCCACCTGTAGAATGGGGGTCATGATCATGCCAGGTCTGCAAGGTGGCCTCAAGGAATGGCAGCGCCAGGGGGCTCAGTAGGGGATGAGGTACATGATAGGTGCTTGGAGCTCATGACTCCCAGGGTGCTTGGAAGAGGAGCTTCACCACTCAGCCTCTGCTTCCTTATCTGTAAAATGCGGTGAAACTGCTAATACTACTTCCCAAGGTGGCTGGGAGGGTTTGACAGGTCATGTGTGGTGGATGGCATTAACAAAAGCTGGTGTTCCGGGAGTGTATGAATACCCTTCTCATCTGCCCAGAGAGAGGGCCCTCCCAGAAAAGAAAGGGGCAGGGGGCTCATGCTGCCCTTCTGATGGGCACAAGGTGGGACTGGCATCACAGCTGGGACAGGGCAGACCATGTTCCCTTCCGTAGGCCTCCGCACTGATCAGGAGCCTGCACACCATGCCCCATCCTTCCAAAGCATCATCCCTGACACCCTGGCGGAACATGGGCTCCAGAGACAGCTTCCGAAAAAGAACTGCATCCCGGTTAAGTCCTGAGCCACCGGTGGAAGGCGTGAAGCAGGAGGAGGGAAACAGATTTCAGACAGAGGAAACAGCTGAGGCAAAGGCCTGGAGGCAGGGAAGTAGTAGCGGTGGGAATGGTAAATAACTGAGCAGGCACTCAGGAGCTAGGGGCAGGCTTGTGGAGGAGGAGCCCGAGAGAGGTGGCCGGCCAGGAGTGCCTCCAGCCTGAGCTGGAAGTGCTTTTTCACTGTAGGACAGTGGCTCTCGCTGCAGAGGGCCCTCTGGCTGTGTGTGGGGACACGTTTGGCTGGCACAGCTAGGGCTGGAGGCCCTACTGGCATCAGGTGAGTTGTGGCCCGGGATGCTGCTAAACATCCTACGACGCATGGGACAGACCTGCCACAAAGAAGGGCCCCATCCCAATTGTAGCGGGGCCAAGGGGGAGAAGCCCCGACCTGGGGCACTGGGCAACCAAGGCAGGTTGTAAGCAGGGTAGGGCATGGGCAGGCCTACAAGCCTAGGCAAATGAGCTTCAGTTGGCTCATCTGCCTCCGCCCCGGGGTGAAGGGTGTGGCCTGACCTGGGCAGGGCAGCAAGGAGTGAAGAAGTGGGCGACTTGAAACCATCTGGCCTCACTGCGACTGGACAAGTAGACTGGCCACGGCCCCCGCCCTGACTCTGCCCGGGGCAGCCCCCTCCTAAGTGGCCTAAAATAAACTTGGTGTGGAGAATGGAAATGTCACTTTGGCCAAAGGGGGAATCTTTCTCCGAGATTGGATTTAAACTACATTATACAAGCAATTTCATGGGCACTTAGCACCACTCGGAGAGTCCCGCAGAAAAGGGACCAGCTCTTCATTTACCAGCCATAAATCAGCAGTTGCTATAATGAGCACAAAAATGTCACTTTTATGCAATTTTACAGATGAACAAAACTGGTGAAATTAACTGTGGTAACCTACTGGAGTCAGCAAAAGCAGCTGCCGGGGAAAAAAAAATTATATCTGTATGTATTTTTGTTCCTCTTAAAGTCTCTTCCCAAGCAAGTTTCTGCCACTGTGGTGTGAAAACTCATTTGTCCTCACCATTATACTTTCATTTGGAGTTTATCTTGAGTATCCAATGAGCCACCAACTGTGAAAATGATTAAATCTACAAAATCTATCTAATAGATGGAATAAATTACATGTTTAAAACCTTAAGAAGAAAAAAAAAGGAGTGCCTGTTTCTAGTCCCCATTCACTGAAAGGAAGGGCATTTTACCGGGCTTCTGGTGGAGCTGATGGTAGTGAGCTCATTTAGTGTCTAGTATGTGCTAGCTCCATGCCCACAGCATGCCTGCCTGCCTGCCTGTCTTCCTTTCTTCCTTCCCTCCCTTCTCTCCCTTTCTTCCTTCCTCTCGCTCTCTCTCTTTCCCTCCCTTCCTCTCTTTCTCTCTCTTTCCCTCCCTCCCTTCCTTTCTTTCTTCCGACAAGGTCTCAGGGTATAGAGTACAGTGGCACGATCATAGCTCACTGCAGCCCCCACCTCCCAGGCTTAAGCAATTCTCCTGCCTCAGCCTCCCATATAGCTGCGACTATAAGGGTGCGCCACCACACCTGGCTAATTTTTGTACTTTTTGTAGAGATGGCCTCTCACTATGTTGCCCAGGCTGGTCTTGAACTCCTGAGCTCAAGTGATCCTTCCATCTTGGTGTCTCAAAGTGCTGGGATTTCAGGCCAGCCCTTTAAGATGCCACCGTGCCCAGCCTCCGTGGCTTTTCTTGACGACTCGTGTTTAGAGGCCCCAACAACCCAGAGGTGGGAGTGGCCCGCATTTTACTGATGAGGAAACAAGTTATGGCCTTTGGCAGCTGGCCTCCATGATCTGTCACCTGCACCAATGATTTTTATACCTCCTGGTGGTATTTATACCCTTGTACAGTCCCTGGGACCCACTCCAAATAGGACTGACCCGTCTAACTAGTATGATATTCTGGAAGTGAAAGAATACAGCTTCCAGGGCTCAGTCTTAATAGTTGTGGCTTCTTCCTTGCTCAAGCCACTTGCTCTGAGGGAAGCCACTGCTGTGTCAGGACACTGGAGGAGCCCATGGAGAGAGGCTCATGTGGCCACAAACTGTAGCCTTCAGCCAAGAAGGTCATCTGAGACTTGGAAGCAGACCCTCCAGCCCCATTCAGGCCTTCAGATGAGAGTGCAGCCCCGGCCGATATCCTGGCTGCAACCTCATGAAAGACGCTGAGCAGAACCACTCAGCCAAGCTGTTCTCAATTTCCTAAGCCACAGAAACCCTGAGAGATACTGTTGCTGCCTTGAGCCACCGAGCTGTGCTTGTCACACAGCAGCAGGTGACTCATGCAGGCCCCCCTGTACAGAGAGGGAAGTGGAAGCTCAGAGGTTCCCAAGAGCATGCACACAGCAAGAGGAGCTGAGATTCGGGCCCAGTGTGTCGGCTTTCCAGGCTGTCTTCACCCTATCTCCAACCTGAGGCAGGGCAAAGCCCTTCATGAGGCTCTCCCTCCTCCTCTTCCCTAGAATCAGGAG